AATAATTCAACATTCTGCACTGAGTAGATTAAAGGTATGTAGAATGCTCCGGTATTAGATTCCACCTCTGTCACCTGAAATCAATCAACGCTTTATTTTCCATGCACTGTCAATGCAATGGGCATTTTCCGTACCCATTTAACGATTTAACTAGTACCATTGAAATTTTCCCTCATGATATTAAAACATATTACCGCCCATTTTATTAATAAATTGTCATTACACTATCACGCCCTAATACCAACCCTAATAATTGCCTCATCTAATGTTGTGCATACATTGTATAGTAATATATAAAAACATGTGTGTGTACTGATGTACACGCGTTAGAAGTAATATTTCTTTGGCGTAACAAGATAAAAATCTTTTTAAAAATTTTTATCTTTCGCCTTATTTATGTTTGTAGAAAAAACGACACTAACAATATAAAAAAGGTATTTAATATGGAAAGTTCATTTATCTAGTTAAATAAAGTTTATTTAAATATGACAAAAAAAATATTTCTACATAACTAAAGAAATTGAATTTTTTTATTTTAAAATGTTGACTATGCTAACTTCAGGGTGTTGGTTTTTGTGACGGTGTGCGCGCGCATCGTAAAAATTTACTCTCATAATTTTTCCCTAACGTGCCAAAAGAAGTATAACTTCAATAAAGGCATTTTTCTTTGTCCAAATCCGGAATTTCAACTAACCAATACCAGTACACAACAGACGAAATATTTGTGAAGATCTGCTGGCGCCATCTAAGTAACGAATAAAAATACAGTTAACGACGTCAATATGACGCACAAGTAATTAATATAATTATTAAGCACGAACATTGTTTTTTAATTACCCTCATTATGATTAACATTTTAAACTTTGAAAATGATAGTAGTTAAAAAACATATATTACTAGTTAATGGAAACAGGACCGGTACTCCGTAATTTCGAGCGTCGCAATCTTGGAGTACCAAACCCCAACATAGAACTTGGGATCTCAATCGGTATCGGCAGATGTTTTGATATTGTAACATATGCATCAAGTGTGCGGTGTGTGTGCGGATACCTTTTTACTTACTTTATAAGTAAAGTTATTTATAATTGTTGTCAAAGTTCTGGTCTCAATACTCTACCTTAAAGGAAAGCATTATACGGCAATGATCTATAACTTCTAGGTAGGTGATTAAAAAGTTTGATAGCCAAGGCGTAACAATTTTTTGAATACACCGTGGTGCAACATATAGGCACCCACATCGGGATCTCTACTCATAAATTACAATCATATGTGTAATAAATTAAATGAGACCCTATAAAAGTAAGACTGCTTTGACAAACTCTCAAACTCAGGCAAATTATAATGTGACATGACTGTTTAAAATTTTATATGGTTACATGACGGTTCGCGCTCCTATTTTGGCTTGCTTTTGCTGAAAGCTTATAATTTCTTCATTGAATTAATTTTGAGTTATGTAAAGAAATCATCAAGAATCAAGAAATTCATGGGTGATCCAGGGCTCAATTGGTTGCGAGACCCGTTCTCTCATTCTTGTATGCCTTCTTTACATATTTAATCATTTTCAGAAACGTTCTAGGCACGGTCTGCGCTTTATTAACATCCAGTAGGCCGTTTTGGTCTACTGTTATCTGTGTCTGGTGCTCCAGTTTGTGCCTGGACGTAGTTGCTGCATTTTACCGGGAGTGGCGAAGTGCTTTTTGGTAGTTCTTTTCGTTCGTTCGTAAGAGAAGTTTTATGCTTTGACGTTCATGTATTTACAAAAAATAACTGTGCAACCATTATTATTACTAAAAGCCAAAAAGTCAAAATCATTTATTCATATAGGTAACGCTATGTACACTTATGAACGTCAAAAAGATATATGTATGTATGTATGAAATGCTTCTAATTTTACATTTACTGCCAGTTCTCAAATCAAGGGCGTAGAATGGAAGAGAAGAACTGGCAATAACTAAACCTTAAGTAGGTACCTAGCTTAAAGTGGAACCTTAAGTATTGATTTAATGAAAAAGTAAAGACTGTCATTAATTAAAATTAAAGTCTATTTTTGACACGAGAAACAAATATCATAGTAACCGGTTGCTAATCAATTGAATCACCATAAATGGATGGATGTAAGCTGCGGCCGCGTTTAGCTAGGACAAATTTTTACATAGAAAACGCATTAAGATAATATCTTACATATTAGTATTAAATGCGTAGATTTCTTACTTTTTCTGAATGTTTTATGATTAAACAGTGCTCGAAGCAAATATGTGAAAAGTATTTGTAAATTTTGAAATAAATTTGTTAATTATTTATATAGTAGACATACTCGTTTCTCGTGGTAAGATGCGTAAGATCCCAATTTCGATGGATATTGAAAGAACCATATTTAAATAGCATACAAAAACGTTGGATTCGATATCACTATTAGTATTGGAAGTCGACACACGCGCTGCTTTAATAGCATCGCGTATTGCGTTGTTTTTTCTTCTTATATTTATTTTATTAAGTGTAATGGCTGTATTTTATTAAGTCTATTTGATTGTTGGATTAAAGTATATTCAGCGGTATTATACATTTTATTTATTAAAAAAATTCCAGCAACGGTAAACAAAAAATTATAAATTTAAATCTTAATTTATTTAATTACGCACTATATTATACGATTTTTTAAAATAAAATTACTTAGAAACATACGTTTACATCTAAAAAACTACATCCCACAAACATACATGTATATGTGATATAAAGAAAATATATATTTTTTTCTAAATCATTCGTCATTCACGTGATGCCCATCTCGGTAACAAGATTAAATTGATTGGAATAAGATTTATTGAACCAAGTTCAGGGAGCAATGTCAACGGTCTAAATAAAACTAGTTAATATTTAGGTCACTGCACTGGTTCAATACAATATTGAAAAGTAATTACAAAGTAAATACACTCGAACCTAATTCGCTGTTTTGCTGATGATTTTTTTTCTGCTTTACCAAAAAATATGTAATATAATAACTTTAATGTATGCTTAGTTTAATTGTATTTTTTATTTACTTATTAGGTTTACTTCAATTGTCATACGTTTTAGATGGAAAATTTTGTAAAATACGCCGTAGATTTAGTACTATGTATGATGTGGTAAACTATAATCTAATATATAAAATTCTCGTGTCACAATGTTCGTTCCCAGACTCCTCCGAAACGGCTCGACCCATTCTTATGAAATCTTTTATGCATATTCAGTAAGTCTGAGAATCGGACAACATCTATTTCATCCCCCTAAATGTTAAGGGTGGTTCCACTCCTAAATTTGAATTTTTAATTTTTAGACAAAACTTTTTGTTTTTATTATCTTATGATGCAACATACAAAAATACATATAAAACCCTTAATTGTCACCCCTCTACGATCAACCCCTATTTTTTATTATAGTAGATAGTTTTTTATTGAACTTAAAAAATGTTTCCTAGAAATAATACACATGGCAAAACGACGTTTGCCGGGTCAGCTAGTAAATAAATAAAAAATAAATACACATTGCCTTACTTACTTGATTTAATGCCCTATAACCCCTAGGCAGAGGGCCTCTACAGGCCTCTATCGTGTTCGGTCTTGAGCCTCGTATTTCACCTCCAAGTCCTTCCGGCTTTTTGCATCAACACCTATGACGCCAGGTTTGCTTGTGACGGCCATGCTGGCGCTTTCGTTAAAGGGTTCCAATCAAGGGTTGGAATCTCTTCCGAGTGTATGGCCTATCCATTTCCACAAGTGACACATTAATTAAAACAAAAACTTACATACGTAATATACATTCATACATCGGATAAATCATATCTCTAGCTGGTTAAGCGCTAGCTTCTTAACACTGAGGTCGTGAGTTCAAAGCCTGCCTGTGCACCAATCACAAAACGATACTCTTTCTATGAGCGCAATACACTTCTTTATATGTAAAGGAAACCATCGGGAGAAAGATACCGGTTTCTTAGGTAATGTCGCTGGATTAATGTTATGGTGGGGGGGGGGGGGGGGGGGGGGGGGGGGGGGGGGGGGGGGGGGGGGGGGGGGGGGGGGGGGGGGGCGCGCCCCCCCCCCCCCCCGAAAAGAGAGGAGAGAAAAGAGGGGGGGGGGGGGGGGGGGGGGGGGGGGGGGGGGGGGGGGGGGGGGGGGGGGGATTTAAAATTTATCCCCCCCCCAAAAAAAAAAAAAAGGGGGGGGGGGGGGGGGGGAGGAGAACACCCCCCCCCCCCCCCCGAAGGGGGGGGGGGGGGGAAAAAAAAAAAAAAAAAAAAAAAAAAAAAAGGGGGGGGGGGGGGGGGGGGGCCCCCCCCCCCCCCCCCCCCCCCCCCCCCCCCCCCCCCCCCAAACCCCCGGGGGGGGGGGGGGGGGGGGCCCCCCGGGGGGGGGGGGGGGGGGGGGGGGGGGCCCCCCCCCCCCCCCCCCCCCCGGGCCGGCCCCGGGGTGTCTCGACGAGTGTGTACAGCCACCATTACATGTTAATGAACTGTCATTAAAAAAGTTTCAAAGTAAATTTGACGAACACCACATCACGCTTTAACTGTTTAAAAAAAATCAGGATAGTGTGTTTTAGTTCCTTAATATTCGAAAGGTGCCAATACCAAGAAGGGTATTATCTATCAATAAAATGTATTATTAATGAAGATATGCCATTTCTACTTGTCAGTGTGGTCCGGTCACGCGTACTGTGAAAACGTATATCGTTTTAATCATTAATTATAGATAAATAAATTAAGCTAGGGCCTATTTAATTCAACAACAGTTATATTTGAAATATGACATATCAAAATAAAACCCAATTATTTAGTAATATTCCCAAAAACGTCTGACGATCGAAATTCAAATACGTGTAAATTCCAGTGTTCGCAAAACTTGACGTCATAGCGCCATACTGACTCAATTTTATCCATTTATATTAGCGAGGTTGCGGTTTCACGTTACACTTGATGGTGCGACAGGCTTTAGACAATACTTGACAGGCAGTGCTCAGTGATAGTTAACATGTTGGCGGGAAATATTTGTGTTAATATCTCGGAATTTATGGATGTGGTGTATTGTGCTTATGTTCTGCATTCTAAGGTTGGTTATCTAACGTAATCATTATTATATACACTTCTTTTAAGATTTTAAAAATCGAACAAAATTCGCTTCAATTAAAACCACGTAAACTGTCCTTCCAAAAATTTATTTGAGGTGAAATTAACCACCTCGTTTGTGGAACTCGCTGGATTATAAGCTTAAGTTGCAATGTGTCAAACGAAATGGAATTTAATTGTAATTTTATTTTTCGGTATTTTTCACATTCCATATGTATTAACCTTGTCGTGTTATTTACGTTATTTGTTTTTGCAATTTTTCTAACGCGTAAGGTTGACTTTGTAGATGCATTCCAATTATTAATTATTACTACAATTCTCACTGCTTCACTGTTTATTGAATTGTTTATGAGTATTACTTATCATTAGTCACTATTAAATGTAGTTACGATACTACTTCTGCAAATATTAAAATGTTTTGTATAATTATGTACGCAGTAAATGTATGGTTAATAAGGATAAAAACATAAACACAGATTATAATAAACCTCAAATTGAACAATATTAAAACCATAAATAATAAACAACTGAAATCTATGGCAAGTATTAACAGAGAATGTATGTTTTCCAGCAATCAGAGAGATGGCGAAAGCTTCGCAACATAGTGCAATGGACTCCGTTCTTTCAAACGTACAAGAAACAACGGTATCCTTGGATACAATTAGCTGGTCATCAGGGTAACTTCAAGGCGGGCCCTGATCAAGGCACGATACTTAAGAAACTTAGCCCACAAGAAGAACGGTGCTTTAAGGTGAGAAATATCGATTCCGTAGAATTGCCACCTTTCGTCTCTTACTGTCAGTGTGATGAATACGATTAGTTAATTGTCAATTTAGACTAATTACGAACTAATTTTTAATTAATGAATACCTGATTATTACACATAAGTGGTTAGTTAAGTTTTACTTGATGATCATACGCACGTACAGTGAAAATCCAAATCATGTGTGTAAACTCAGATCTTAGAGCGTTTCCACTATATTTCGTTCTGGCCTATACAAAAATGTTTCGATCCTAACATTACTATTTAATATTATACTTATCCCTAGGCAACACTCTGTTTTTGTTATCAAAAAAACAAGTTTTTATTTAAAAAAAGGTTTTGACTTTATAAAAAGTGTCGCGAACACGAGAAGTGAAACTTAAAGAGGGAGAGACAGATATAATTTTTTTCCTTTCATCAGGTTTTTAAAACGTCCGGGGTGAGGGGGTCAAAATTTTTTTTGGCTAGGACGCACCGTTTCCGAGGGGGGATATTTCAATCTAAAGCAAAAATCGTCACTTGATAGTGGAAAGTGGAAACACGCACAAAACCAGAATAAACCAGTTTACGCTGCGCAGGCCACGTGCAGTCCGGCGTCAGTCGCTTGGTACGTAGAACATAAAGCACACATTTCATTCAAAAATTATAATTATTACGTTAATTGTAAATTTGATGTGAGGTATTGTTTGTATGTAAAATTTGTGAAGGTAATGTGGTAAGTTGCAACTTTTATATTGTTAATAAAAATGGTCAGTGTTAAAACATGGTGAGGCAAGCCTTTGACTTCTCAAACTAAAGAGAGTTTTGTACTTGTACAAATATTTCGAAAATGAGTGTAATAACAACCCGAGCAGTATTATGACTCCCACTCAATTAGTTGCTAAATCAACGGGAATTCTCAATAGCATCCGTCAGAAAGGTAGTATCAGAAAGCAAATGTCGCCTTCAGATCAGGGAAGTAACATTTAAATCTCCCTAAAAGAAACCGAATCGTAAACCTACAATAGTAATCGATAACTTTGATCAGCAAGTTATCAGAAGAACAATTCATGACTTCCACATCACAAATAAAGAAATTCCCACTTTGAAAACTTTGCACGCAAAATTAAAAGAAGATATCGATTATAAGGGTTGTGTCAGCACGTTACGAAAACACGTCATGTATTAGGTTTTAATTGGAAGCAAACAGAAGATAACCGAAACTTCTTATGGAAAAACACGAAATTAGATACTTGCGAATTAATTATTTGATGAAAATTGCTGAATATCGTGAACAACGCCGACCAATTGTTTACACCGACGAAACATATATACATACATCACATACCCTCTCGAAATCTTGGGTTCAGATGGAAGGCACTCTCCAGGTTTGGAAGCAACATATATCGAAAGGCAACCGCTTAACATTGTTCATGCCGGGGGAGGATGGCTTTATACCAAATGCATTGCTTATGGTTTAAAGGGCCAACCAAAAAAGTGGAGATTACCACGACAATATGAACTATGACAACTATTCAAGGTGGATTCAAACTCAATTAATACCCAACTTACAACCAAATAGTGTTGTTGTTGTTGACAACGCACCATATCATAACTCAATACAAATTCCTGCACGAATAGTAATTTTAGAAAACAGCAAATGATTGACTGGCTGACATTGCGAAACATTGAGCATTCATCCACGTTGCTTAAGCCTCAATTATATGAACTGATTCTGCAAAACAAGGCGAGATTTGTAGAGTACAAGATAGACGAAATATTACGACAGCACGGTCATACTGTGCTGCGTTTACCACCATACCATCGGAGTTTAATCCTATAGAAAATATATGGGGGATAGTGAAAACATATGTCGCAAAAAGAATTCGCAATGAATATGAAGGTTATAATGTCATTAGCTGAAGAAAAATGAACGCCATAACTGTAGAGGAATGGAGAAAAGTTTGTCTGCAGATTGAGGAGGAAAACAAAAATCAGGGTAGAGACGCAGCTTTAGACACAATATCAGAACGAATCATAATTAATTTAAATAATTCATCTGATGAAAGGAGGATGGGGATGATTGTGGAATGTGGGGTTGAGAATATTAGAAAAAAATTAGGCCGGAGAACACCTAATTCATACACGTCTCACTGAAGTGAAAAGGATCACTGCTTGTAATTGGCGATGCCTCAAGTCCATAGATTACAATGAGGAAAATTTTCACGCCGGAGAGTGCGAGGAAGTGTAGATTGGTGTGCTCCAGCCACAAACGTATATTACCTTTAAAAAAATAAAAACTAAAAAAAAATGTTTTTTTTTGACACTATAAAGAAAATAGTACCTTACATACATAAGAATTATCACTAGAAGAAAAAGTTTTCTTAGAGGAAAAAGACATTTGTGACATTCAAAAGTTCTTGAATAATCCCATCTAGTCACACAAAAGTAAGATTTTATGAATGGTGACGATATGAATCATCAGTGATAATTAAATTGCTATGAAGTCACAAGAAGCACGTCAGGAAAATGATATAAAACTAATGACGTTATGAAAGTGAAGACACACCTTTTATATTTCCTTGTTACAATTCGATTGCGTAAGCTTTGGGAAAATCGGTGCGCAGTTCACAATTATTCAATATTTACCGTGAGGTCTAGAAGTTCAATGGTTAATACCATATTTAAAAAATAATAATTAAAAGTGAAAGTTATCGGCCATGCTTTTTCATCAAATTAAGGTTTTAGTCATTTTTTGTTATTGAATTTTTGTTTTTGCCTTTTTCGAAACAACAAAAGTACGTACAAGGGCAAAATTATCAGCTGTACAATAGTTTTATAAAAATAATTGTAGTACCATTACTGTAATTTCCATAATTGCTACTACTTCGTGAGATACCGTGTTATATGTAGCGTTATGTCATCGTGATGATGCGAATAGTTTCGTGTAGTACATTACGTCAATATATTACACTGATTCCAATCCTTATCCAAATTCCTTATTTCCTGGTAAATTTATTGGTTGGTTATCCGGCCCCAGCAGTAACTATTGTTACGTTTGTGTTTGAAACTAAAAACATAATAGAACTTTTAATATAAAGATCCAACTATAAATAGAATAAAAAGTGTATTAACATTACTAGTATTTTTAAGAGTCAAAGAAGTTTACATGTCATGTAATATGCGTAAATAAACCACAATCCAGAATATAATGACAAGACAATTAGAAAGTCAAATAAAATCGTAGTAAGGGATTTTATGTTCGATCGTAAAAGTAGCTTTTGTTTCATAGTAACATTATTATGACTGACGAAGCAATTTTAATTTCCTGGTAAATTAATTGTTGGTAGTTACCCGGCACCAGCAGTAACTGTATTGTTACGTATGTATTTGTGTTTTAAACAAAATACATAATAGACTTTAATGTTTGGATCCCACTTTAAATAGAATAAAAAAAGTATTTAGACTGTAATATTACTTGTATTTTTAACTGTTAAAGAAGTTTACATGTCATATTATATGCGTAAATAAATGACGATGTATGATGACTAGACAAATAGAAAGTCAAATAAAATCGTAGTAAAGGATTTCATGTTCGATCGTAAAAATAGCTTTTGTTTCATAGTAACATTATTATAAATGACGAAACAATTTTAATTGTCGATGGACGTTTATCACATGACTTTCGAACTGGATTTTCGTTATTTCACAGATTGACGTCAATAAACTTTCGTACTTTACGTCATTATATTTAGTTCAATTTTGAGTTCAATGTTCAAAGGTCAGTGATCGAAGATATCCATTCTATTTTTAAATTCATACTTATATTTTTAGTTTCGAAATACCAATTTAACCTTTTGTATTTTACAGTTGCTGATGAAAGACATTCTACGACCATACGTACCTGAATATAAGGGTCAAGTCACCTGTGATGATGGAGAACGTATCCTTTTCTTAATATAATAAAATATGTATTTAAAGATATATATTCAACTATACTGTAAATTCTGCGTTCATTTCATTCATTCATCAATTTCCTAAGGATAATAAATCTTGGTTAATCTAAAATTAGGTCACTTGCTTACAATTTAAATAAAACGTCTAGAAAGTTTTAATTAATTGATTATGACAACGTCAAGTTTAGTAAATGAAGTAATAAATTCGCGTATATTGGTGATACATTTTTAGTTAAATATACCTTCTCGCTTACAGCAAAGACCGGTAATTAAATTATCTATAAAAATGCTTGAAAATAGTTCTAAAATACTTTTAAATAATATTGGTTTATGTTGTACTTTCCTTAAACACAATATAACAGTATACTTACAACTGCAAGATTTGCTAAGTGACTTTGACTGCCCCTGTGTCATGGACTGCAAAATTGGCGTAAGGACATACTTAGAAGAGGAGCTAGCCAAAGCAAAAGAAAAGACAAAATTAAGAAAAGTAGGTATATTTTTGTAATGTTAAAAATGGACCACCGAGATTTAAATGACGCATAATACCAACGTTAAACAAAATTTTCTAATTACAACCTATCATTACATTACATTATCTCCTCTTAGGGAGGTATAGAGCAAAGCAATTGGCTAACAATAAGTTTTTATCACGATCACAATTTTATACTTCCTATATTATTTCTAATATTTTAAACGCTACAGTTTGTAAGTATGGATTGATGTTTGTTACTCTTTCACATAAAAACTACTTAATGGATTGTAATGAAACTTTACAATTATATAGCTTATACATCAGAATAACACATAGGATTCAATTTATAAAGATACTGTGTGAATAGTAAAATATCAAGTACGTAGGAAAAAATCTACCACCTGCGAACTATTCTGGAGTGCGCTGCCAAAACCGCTAGAGTTACGCATATGATGGAAAGTTTATCTTAAATAGTCAATATCTTCAGTAGTTTTTTCTACGCCACGCTAATATAAGCTACACGAAACCTAATCCTGCGCAGACGAAGTCGCGGGCAACAGCTAGTATATTATACAGCTGAAGAGTTCATTAAGTGTTCATTCTATTATTATTCGAATGTTGTTTTTAAATTATGTCCAATGCCGTAGCATCTTCCGTGGGCAACTTCATTCTGTTAATTTTGTGTCACGGTGCGCGCGCATCGTAAAATTACACTATCATCAATTTTTCATAACGCGCCTAAAGAAGTATAACTTCAAAAATATAGGGTTTCCGTTGTATGCCTATATATAGTTACGCAAAAATAATGTATGACAGAATGGTTCTTCTTAAAAAAGTTTGTGGCTAAATATATCTTGGTACTCACTGTAACCTTTTCATCGCAATTAGTATAATATCATTAGTTTCATGAGGGTAACATACGTCAATTCTATCTTTATTACACTTTATAGCCATATATAGCTTTATTTATCACATTAAATAGGAAAAGATTAGGCTGCTACTTCATATTAATAGTGCTATTATTGCAAGACAAAAAGACCAATAAATCTAATTAGTTTTAAATAATTTCAGGACATGTATGAGAAGATGATACAAATAGATCCAGCCGCGCCTACTGATGAGGAACATAGAAGCAAAGGTGTAACCAAACCGAGGTATATGATATGGAGGGAAACTATCAGTTCAACATCAACACTGGGCTTTAGAATAGATGGTGTGAAAAAAGCTGATGGCACAAGTACTAAGGACTTCAAAACTACGAAGACGAGAGAACAGATATTGGAAGCGTTCAAGGACTTCACAGGCAGTTCTAGGAGTGCTGTGGTAAGTGTCAAATATTTTCATTTATGTATTACAAATTCGTATATTCTGAATATAATAATAATTATTTATCCGCATCTTATTATGCACTTAGACACGGCCCCTGTCCGGGTGAAGGCCTCTTCCAACTTTTTTCACCTTATTATTGTATTTTTTTAATTCTGAATATAAAAATACTTAATTATAGTCTCAAGTGGATTTCAAATGTCTTTTATCGTAGGCAATTAAAAAATTTAGATAAATTATCGTTTTTATTAGTTAGTTCATGTAGTAGTGTGACTTATTACAGATAAATCTTTAGTCTAGCTAAATTTTAAGACTCTTGAATACATAGGTATTGAATGTGTTTAAATATTTGAACAACGAATTTAAATTTATGTTTCATTCCATTTTTCAGCCTAAATACTTGGAGAGACTGAAGAATATCCGAGCGACCCTTCTGGAATCACCCTTCTTCAGAACTCACGAGTTAATCGGCAGTTCGCTTCTCTTTGTCCACGATAAAAGAGGGGCCTCTATTTGGATGATTGACTTCGCCAAAACGGTGCCTGTTCCAGATGACATCAGCATTGATCATAATTCCGCTTGGAAAGTCGGAAATCACGAGGATGGTTACCTCATCGGCCTGAATAACTTAATTTCCATCTTTGAATCATTGATCAAAGACGACAACGGCAACATTGATGAACCCTACACAGACTTAAATTTGGACAAAAGCGTGCGGAGAGACACTTTAGCAACTTGACCCCTTTGAAATTACAAATGTAATTTGTCTTGAATATTTCTTTCTGGAAGTCCAGGTGTATTGTAATGACGTTGATGTTCTACATTAGAGGTGTAAATATTTGTTACTTTAAGTTTGTCGAAATACTCATAATGTAAGTTATGCTTATGAGAAGATGGTGTAAAAATTATTTGCTCCCTGCACTGTTAGCACTGTAAATTATATTCATACAGTAACAATAAATAAAACTACTAAATATCGGGTAACATTGTATTTCTATACTTCGACAGTGTACTTGTTCAGATGAGTTTTTAAATGTGTATAACTGTGAAAAACTCATAGAAAATTCTTAATGTATTATTTATATTTTTAGTAAGTACACTATATTAGTGTAACGACTAGATATTTTATTATTTACGAGTACATAAGGCTAATTATACTGAGGTACTAATTAAAACATATCACATACGTATTTGTTTGTTTTAATCTCTTAGATAAATTTATCAGCAAAAATGCAGACTAAATTTATAGTTAATTTACCATGACAATATTTATTGATAAAACTAGTGTTGCCTTTCGCTTTTAGTATTATTATGTATTTCTACTTCAAACGTGAAAATAATACAAGTGAATAAGAAACTATGAACTTATTAAATAATATATGATTATGGAATGAGTCTATATAATTGCTACAATAAATTAAAAAGGACTTCATTACGTATAAAGTCTGAAATTGTTCATATCATACAGCTATCAAAAATAGCCCTTACGCACTAAAAGCTAATGGCACTTCACTAATGCACTAATACAGGAATGGCAATCCTTTGGACGGCTTTTTAAAATAAATAATAGTCTAAGTACTATAAGGCACTAACTTTTGTCTTTGTTACTATCTATCACAATATCTGTTAAACTACCGCGTCTGGAGTCATCTTGACTTTCCTTACGGTTTCTAGAATATGGTCTTGGTACAGGAGCAGTGGACGATCCTGACGATGCAGGGGAATATCTTCTAGCACGGGGCTGGTAATCCTCAGTCTCAGTGTACGGAGGAGGAGGCTGCGTCAGCATCGTCATTCTAGTCTCCCTTTGTGAAGCTGCTGTTATTTGCAATTCAGCACCTGCTACTACCGTCGCCAAGGTTGGGGTAAATTGGGGCGCTGCAAGTCGAGCACTGACCCTTCTACGTCTTGACCCAACTTGCTCATCCAAATCCCTACAAGGAATTGTTGGAAGGTTGTTATCAGGTCGTATCGGATGATTGCTAGATGGACTCGCAGTTTCTAAAACAGCTAGTGCACGTAACAAATCTGCGACGCTAGTATTTTCAAGAACTTCCACTTGTTCGTTTTCTGGTAGATTGGACAAGTTTACGTCTGGATCAAATAGACTTGGCCGACCGCGTTTAGTTCTGTTCTTATAACTTTCTAATTCACTGGTAAAGTCCGTCGACGTGCCCGCAAAACAGCTGTTGCGACCACGCTTTGTTTGGTTTTGGTACTGTCTGATACTTTTTTCTAAGTCTGTCGAACAGTCATCAGGAGAACTAGTTTTTCGACTCTTTCCAAAGGTTGGAAAGAGACTGCTACGTCCATGTTTCGTCTTTTCCTTGTAGTTGACTAATTCATCAGAACTTTCGGGTAACGTATCGTCATCATTTTTCTTAGATTTGCTAAAGGTCGGGAATAAACTTGTTCGACCTTTTCGTGTGCGGTTTTGATATCTCTGTATTTCATCTTCGTCCATGGTATCTTCATCGTTACTAGTTTGTTCGTTAAAATCAAATGTAGGGAATATGCTATATCGCCCATGTTTTGTTCGTTCTTTGTAAGCTTTTGCCTCATCATTTTCATCTTCATTGAAATTAAATGTTGGAAATATACTATGTCGTTTCGGCTTCTCTTGGTATGATCTCATGGCTGCTGTGTCTTCGTCTTCAGAAAAATCAAAAGTTGGGAAAATACTGTGTCTTCCCCGTTTGGTCTTTTCTTTGTAATCTTCTAAGTCACTTCTTTCTTCTTCACTGAGTCCATACGATAGTGGGTACATACTAGTTTGTTTTGGTTTATCACTTGCTTGCGCTGCACTTACTCTTCCTTTCATAGTATTTTTAATATATTCTGCAGGACTTTCACCGGAACTAGGTTTCCTAAATAATCTTGCAAACAGGCTCTTTGGTTGCATATCTTCAGTGGGTGCCACAGCTGTAGGAAGGGATAACTTTCCGGTCCGAATATTTGCTTCCTTTCTAAATTTTTCTGCTGTATCACCATTTGTCCATGTCAAGTCATGATTGAATTTGGCAACAGATTCTTTTCTGTAATTTGGTACTGCTACACTGCATGCTCTTGTTCGTTTGGTAAGAATATCATGACCTATGCTAAACACCGGAGGGTTTTCACTGGCCAAAATCTGGTCATCATCGAAGATATTAATGCCTCTGTCTTGTACTTGGTTGAAGCCACCCAATACATTTACAACTCTTGCTAAAAGTTCAGCAGGCTTAACAATAGCTTGTGCTGTAAAAGTTTTCTCTTTGTCAATACCGAGCAAATCAGTATCCGATTGTATTCGAAGGATATCTTTCGTTGATAGTTGTATATTTTCGGAATTAGCCCTTTTTCGTTTTGGTATTGACCCTCTTGGTTCAACATCGAATGTAAGTATTGGGCAACTGGCACTTCTATGTAGATGTGGTTTTGGCTCGACATAGACGGGCTGAAACACAAAATAAGATAAATAAAAAATCTGATTTTCAACCATTTTATAAGCAGACTTGTTTTAAAGTGAAACATAAAGATATAAGCGATTTTCATCAACGGCCATATTTCATTCAGACGCCGGAAGAAAATAACAAAAATAAAAACGACTCGATTTAATAATATTTATTTAAGTACCATCTTGTATCATTTCAAACAAGGTTACCCTCAAAACTTAATGGTAACAAATTATTACTACATTCATTTTCCTCTAACCGTTTTCATAATTTAATGTGAAAACTTCTCACTTACCTTCAATTTAATTAAATTTGCTTCATTTATTATCTTCCTTATAGCAGCAAGATCTCGTGTGAATCCTTGCAGTATTTTGCTTTGAGTTGATTTAAGTTGGTTGGCAAATTTTTGTTCGATTTTGTGGACTTTTTCTGATCTCATGCCACTTGTAATAAATCCAAGTAACATTACTATGTACCCAAGGCCGAAGGTAATCCAAACGAGAAGGAATATTTGGTAGGTGAGAAAGTATCCTTGTTTGAAACCATTGTTCACTGTGCCTATGATAAAAAACAAAAGAAATACAATTATATAAGGACTAAATTTTATGGTTAATAATTAAAATTAGGTTAGGTAGTTATTAGGTCTAAGAAAAGCCGGTTTCCTCATGATGTTTTCCTTCACGTCATGATTCGAATTCGTTCGAGCGAATGTTAAATGCGCACTTAGAAAGAAAGGCGCACGCTGATGCCACTAGGCCAACACTGGTCCTGTTGTTTCAACCTTACTTTATATAAGATGAATTAGATGTGATGTATTACTTTAAACAGTAATTTTTATACGGCGAAAACACTTGTCACACCTAGATAGTCAAGGCAGAATACGAAATACGATCCGTATTACTTCGACGTCCGTCGTTCCACAACTGAGCGTTTCTTAAGGCAGTTTTTGCGGCGCACTATGTGGAACTAGCGGGCCACTGAAGTATGTCCGAACTAATTCGACATATGGACCTTGATAAGAGCGTAGGAATTCTTCAACGCACTTGCTAGCCTTCTGGCAATGTAAGTGTCCATGGTATTACTTAACATCAGGTGAGCCTCCTGCCCGTTACTCCCCTGTCATATAAAAATAACTTACCGGCAACCAAATCACCGAAGCCAATAGTTGTCAATGTAACAAACGCGTAATAGACACCAGCTACAAAATCCCATCCCTCGAAGACGACAAAAATACAAGCTGGCAGGAAAATGAAGAACAGAAAACCAGGAACCAGGTAGAGGAAAATCTGACCCAGCATGCCCAGATTATTGAAGAAGTAATCTAATTTATCTGCGCGCTTTTCATTGCGTCTCTTGTATTTTCGGTAGACGGAGATTAGCTGGAATTGAAATATACAAATTAGAAAGAAGAAGGACACTTTATTACACACGATGAAAAATGTTTTGCAGCCCTCACAGGATTCCCGGTGTCTCCTAGCCTCTTCCATAAAAGGCAGAGATAAAAGAGCCTCTGGGATTTTATTAAAGAAAAGTATCCCTTTTCTCAATAAAGAATTACTATCTTTACTTTACTAGTACGGGGAAATTGCAGCCTGCGTTTGTTCCGAGTATTAACCCAGGCATGTTTATTATTTGTTCCAGCGTTTATTAAATGAGATAACAATGACAAGATGACCCACGTATGAATGAATTGAATTTAGATATTACCTATATATATGATCGGATGTTATCATTCGTTATCAAATCTTTATTCGAAATGTCTTTTTGATGTACATGTCGCAGCCAACTAAACAGTGCTGTTTAACTAGCAGCCTGAATTATCTTTGAATAAATAATAATAATAAAAATTAATTAATTTTATTTTTTTATCTTTTTATCATTGTTACTGATACTGTTTCGTCCCCACATAAAAAGCGGATACGCGTCGTACCCTATTCGCCTATTTTATACCCTATTTTCCACCCCGCGACGGCCCAAGCCGAGATTCGAGTCTCACAGGAGATGCCCTTGCACTAGTCGCGGGAAAAACGCCCTTACACGCCGAGCTACGCTCGCCTAAACAGCCCGAGCTGAGCTGTAAAAGCCCTTAAGGCCATTCCAAAAAAAATATATATTCGCGTCCCCGTCTCCCCGATGGCATCCGTTTGCCTTCTAAAGTCAGTTTAAAATCAGATAGAATACGTTAAGATGTTTTCCGAATATATTTATTGTATTCATGAATTGTGTCAATGAATTAATACAATAAATATGAAAAGAGGAGTCAAATTTAAAATTAGGAAATATATAAGAAATTCGACATACGATTTTTCATCATCATAGGTTTATCATTATATTAAAAGGACACATCAAACTGTACAATGAACGACAGTTACATAATTAATTGATCTTCATTTCCTAGGAATAGCAAATACAATAGAATTACACGGTTGTCATACGAAATTTAAATGATTAACTGCATTATATAGATTTGTTAGTTGTTAGTTGCAACTCTTTCAAGTCAATCTCGCAAGGCAACTAGAAATAGTTGAACCACTTTGAACCGCTTTTAGACTTTTGGAGGCGTAATGTAACAAATGAATGCGCTTAAAATACTAAAATAGTATTTCGTGTAAGGTGGTGTCGCAAATTACAATTATTATGGTTTTTATGTTAGCCAATAAAATAACTAAATATTAACGTCGTTCAATAACACACGATAACTATAAACATCAGAAGATATTGTTATATATTACTTCAAAAAGCTCATAAGTTACGTTCAAGATTTGAAAACTGAAATTCTATTCCACAAAACTTGTCGTATTTTGCTTTTTTTTATTTATGCTCTCAAACATCACACAAGTTAAAACGTTTTATAAAATAAACTAGCTAAATATAATACTTCTTTCTAGATTACTATTATTAATATTTTAACGCCAAGAACATACAAATAAAACACAGAAGCTTGGCGGACACATTTGATACAACAATTTCCCTCTTGATTTGTGTGCCGCGATATTGCGGGCTATTCGATTGCGAGGAAGATACATGGATTTGGTTAGCGCTTCGCCTTAGTTCTCATTTTAACACGTGTATATCTTCTTACATATTTCATAAGAGTTTGTATTGTGTCCTCGTTTCAACATGACTTGTTTGAGGTCATTAATAAAATAATGTATAAAATGAGGATATACCTGAAGCCCGAAGTATTCTCCGAGGTTGGCAAGTAAGATACCATTGATCGGGATCCCGAATAAACCGTAGAAGATCATCAGGATTCTGGATAGATGTGTTGTCGGGGATAAATTTCCGTAGCCTGTAATAAGAGGAGAATACATAAATGAATTAACTTCATTTACAGTCTCGTAATTTCCAATGGAGCAAGACATTTCAGCGTTGCATCTTTTTTACGATGCGATTTGTTGGTTTAGGATATATCCCAAGTCCCATAAAACCATTCAGTGGCTTTATAGGATTTGGCTTCATATTTTTGAATGTTCCTTTTTGTAACGAACAAAAGAAAGTCGTCTGTTTTCTGGACAAGGCACACGTACTTTTTACGGAATGTCGCTAATTCGTTCCCAATTCGGGGTTAACTAATCCGATTAGAGAAGACGAAAACAAGATCTTCTAGGATCTTTCCATTTTATTACAATATGCAATTCCGCGAAATGATAAAGAGATATCTTGATGCGTTGAAGTAGTTCAAAGCAATGGACACTCATCATCTGTCGTATCGTCAAACATCACATGCTTTGACATAATCCCTTAAGTGTCTTCTTATAAGTACATCATAAGGTATTTGCCGAAAATTCTTATCATTTTAATGGGAACAAAATAAGAGTGAGCTAAGTATTTTCATTCAATAAAATCGCCCCGAGTACTAGATATATTTTCATGATATTATTATTAATTAACATGCCTTTGACTTACAAAAGAAAGTTCTAGGTGGGAACTATCGTTCGAAAGGTTATTTACATAAATCCTTTATAAAGTTATTGATAGTATCTATAACATAACAGGCCAAAAACTACTATTATTGCGTCGTGTGCACAGGTGCTAAAGATTTAAGTTGGCGCCCGGTAGATAGTACCGGTGGACCCAGAGCTGGTGATTTCCTCGCTCAACGAATAAGTATCGCAATACAGCGAGGAAATGCTGTCAGCGATAAAGGTATACTGCCATAGGGACCAAACGTTTTAATTTTGTTTTAATTTTCTTTTTATTCGTTTTTAATTTTTTAATTTTTTTTATTATTACTATGTAGGTTAATAAATATGTAAATATTGTATATTTGATTGTTATGTTAAGGGTTTAATAAAAGGTATATACATATCGTTCTTAAAAGTAAAACTATTATAAATATTACTTACCGATAGTACTGACAACGGTATACGAGAAAAACAGCGAGTGATAGAAGTCCCACATATAGGGCGGTTCCTCATCTTCAGTGGTTATATTATACATGGGTTTCCCACAATAATCCGACAGCTTTCGTAGTATACTGTCCTGTTTAGTTGGGTCGTTCGGAATGTAATTTTCGTATAGAAGATCTGAAATATACATTAAAATATTTTAAGGTATATATATGAACTGATGTTCCATGCAGCTTGGACCATGAAGGAGGCAAGCATTAAGAAACTCGACGTCTTTGAAATGTGGTGTTACCGAAGGATGCTAAGGATAAGCTGGGTCCATAGAGTCACGGACGAAGAAGTTCTACGGCGCGCCAAACAATCCCGAGAACTCACTTTGAACATAAAAAAAAAGAAGAAGATAAGTTACTTGGGACATGTGTTTCGACACGAACGGTACTGACTTCTTCAAGTAATCATGATGGGAAAGGTCGAGGGATAAAGACGCGCGGGCAGAAGGAGGAAGTCGTGGCTCCGCAATATTAGAGAATGGACGGGAGTGGCCAGCGTAGAACAGCTGTAGCGCTTGGCGAAAAATAAGAAGGAGTATGACGAGCTGACCGCCAACCTTCAGTAGGGGAGAGGCACTTCAAGAAGAAGATGTTCCATATATTGAAGATCTCTTTTAGGCTTTATAAATCACACATACTTTTCAAATTAATGAGATTAAAAAAAACTGTTCAATGTAATTTTTTTTAATAAAAATTATTGTTGCTTTGATTCAAACTAGTTTTAGTTTTGCTTAAGAAATTACTCTGTCTTGGCGGCGCGTATGAAACGTGAATCAAAACATAAACATAGTATGATATAATGTTTTAGGATTGTTCAAGAAAAAAAAAAAAAAAAAAAAAAAAAAAAAAAAAAAAAAAAAAAAAAAAAAAAAAAAAAAAAAAAAAAAAAAAAATAAAAAAAAAATTTTTTTTTTTTTTTAAATTTTTTTTTTTAAATATATAATTAAAAAAAAAAAAAATTATATATATAAAAAAAAAAAATTTTTTTTTAAAAAAAAAAAAAAATTTTTTTTTTACGTGGTTAAAACAACTAACGTTTGATATTGGTACGTTGGTTTAAAAATATTTTTTTAAATTAATATTGGGCATTTTTTTTTTTTTTTTATTTTTGCGGCATTCTTGCGGTATCTACATTACTCTTTCATAATTACTTTCCTATTATCAATAAACGCATTAAAATATCATAACATCATTAAAGTTCTTTGATATTATCAATGTGGTTTATGTTACTGCAAGAGAATACATGTCGTTCAATAACGTTTATCACGGAGGATTTGTACGACTCTAAGATTATGAGATTAAACGTCGACATTTATCCCGATCTACAAAATCCCTGGTTTACGCGGATAACATTTTATCACCGATTATCTGTGGAAGTGCCCAGATTTTCATGGCCTGTGCGGCTCACGAACCCAACGTATTGGTGGAAAGAACAGTTATACAAAACTCAAGTACCCTCCTAATATCTTGTCGTAACATAAAAACATACATAAAATGTATGTTTTTTATTGTCTCTGGTCTGAGAAGGTTTACAATTAATTGCGAAACTTTTTTTGTCTTTGGCCATAACTTCTTCTAATTGATACCATTCCATTTATATTATCAAAGCATTCATATTGTCTGCATTTAAGGTCTGCCTAGGGAACAAACTTTAATTTATTTTAGTTTTCTATTTATAAATTTTTTATTACAACACAAATAAAAACATATTAATTGATAGTTCGATACGGGGAATTATTACCAAAGAATAAAAAATTTAACCCGTTGGATTGGTTTATCTAAAGAAAATTATTTTGTAATATTCAAAACTGTTGGACTAACTATTACATTCCATTCAAAAACTATTTTAGTTGCGCGTCTCGCGAGATACGTGTCAATATTCCAATATTCATGGGCGCGCCGGGGCGCAATTGCTTGCGAGGGCTATTATTTCGTTCTTGTTTGCCTCCTTCATGAATTTCATAATATGTCTGTGCTTTTTAAACATGTCCTGTAGGCCGTTTCGGTCTCGATTAGTTACTAAGTTCCTATTGTAACTATTCAAAGTTACAATTAGTTGTTAGTTACATTAGTTAGTCCAACAGTTTTGAATATTACAAAATAATTTTCTTAAGATAAACCAATCCTACGGCCTAGATTTAAGTAGACTTACTAGAGGGCCGTAAAGGGTTATACAGTTTGTGAATTTAAGAAAAACGGACGGAAAGATGCCTATATCTCATGCCCTAGGCAGATGAAGTCATGGGTAATACAAAAAAATAATTATATAACGAAGCTATAAAAAATGTCAATAAAGAAATCACGTGTGCAATTGAAATTAAATTTACAATGGGAAAATCTGATGTTATAAAGATTGTTTTATTACTTCATTAATCTTTATCATCATTTTAGACCACCAACATATATATACCTACCTAATTTTTAATTTAGTAGACGGAAAAGCTAGTTTTAGTTTCCCCTGGTACAAATGTGCGAACTTTACTAATGTTTTGAGTTTGAATTTATTATAACTAATATTCACCTTGACACTATTGTTAATGCTTCTTTGTAGCATACTAGGGCAAACGAGGATACGGAACGCCCAAAAAGGGCAGTAATTGCAGCCCATGGACACCCATTTTGGTGGGTGTGTTGCCGGCCTTTAACATGCCTTTTAATGTTTACATGTAAGTAACAGTAAGTGCAGTAAGTGAAATATTCTTATTAAATTATTCAGTATTTTTTAAATATAACAATATTATATGTTGTTCTAAAGTCTAAACTATGTCGTCGTAAACGGTTTTGACTGTATTACTTTTTGTTACTGGCGTTCAAGTGTTACCTATGTATATGAATATATGAGTCTTTGATTATTGTTTTAGATAAATCCAATAATAATTATGTATTAATGTTTTCGCTAAGAACATTACATTTGATTATAACGACAGGTACATTTAATGCCAAAAGCTCTTTACTAATCTCAGTACTTAATAAGCTTAAGTTGTAAAAAATTTAAACTTGACTTGCACCATGAGGCACCAAAATATTCAAGATACTGCGTATACGCTTTATTCCAACAGAATTAATACTGCTAATTAACAGATGAACAATATAATTTAAATAATAAACAATACAATCACGATGGTATAATTGACAGTGCATGATAAAAACCGGTCAAATAAGAAGGGTACTAATTAGGCGACGCCGTTTTTGTATTGAACAATTTAATGCTCGGCTCAACATTGATACATTTCCTTCTCAGGGCACGATTTTGTCTTTACTTTGTTCAATGATTGTACTTTTTTTAACTCATAACAAAGAACAGGAGTTTAGTTCTTTACCTTAATTTTTATAGAAAGTTAACGTGTCTAAAGATTATCGACAATATGTTTATGAGGAGAGTGTCACAAGTAAAGAACACCACAGGACGTTTACATCGTAATTTATTCTATAGAGAATAATGGTATCTCAATAGAGGTGTTTACGTTTTTGACAACCGGTAGAAGGACTAAGCCGTAAGCCCACTGCTGCACACCTATTGTTTTTCATGATTAATTACTTAAGATGTCATCTAGAACATGGTGTAATGGTTGCAGCTCCTTACAAACATTGTGTAAAACAAAAACCTTGAGTGGCGGAGAGTTTATTGCCAGTTCTTCTCGGTTCTATGCCCTTGATTTGAGAACTGGCAGTAAATGTAAAATTAGAAGCATTTAGTATTTAATATGTATTTCTGTAATTAATAAATGATTTTGACTTTTTGACTTTTAATTGCCTGTAGGTTCATCTCATGTTTAGTTTTAGATACCGTGGTACTGCCGGCGTTTTAAGAATTAAACAATCGTATGAATAAAAATAATAGTAATATGTAAAAAGGCTTTTATATTGTTTTTAAATAAATAAATTACACTACTTTTTTTTCTCTTTTTATATCTATTTGCTCTTTTTATATTATAAGAACCTTTCCGCAGGTGAAGGCCTCCTCTAAGGATTTCCACGTGTCTCGGTCTTGGGTGAGTTGCATCCAGCTCGAGCTAGCCGCTTTGGTAATACAGTCAAAATCTGTTATAAAGACATCGAAGGACTACTCATATTTGGTCAAAAAACCGATAGGCGTAACAGCCGATGACATTATTAAGTACCTAATACATAGAATTCAGCTGGGTCATTAGATTTTGGTCAATATAATCGGAATGTTGTTCTAAACGATGTCGTCGTAAACGGTTTTAACTGTATAATCCGCCCATCTCGTGGTCTTCCTCTGTTTCGTTTCCCAATAGGGCCTCCCCGGGTCGCCCTTATGGTCGATCGATTGTCAGACAGTCTTGCTACATGTCAATCGTATAAGAACATGATATTTGAAGCATTTATTCAAACCAAGCTTAAGAATAATTTCATGAAATCAGATCTAAGACTTTGTATTCGATGATCGAACTAGTTTACTAAACAAAGGCGTGTCTTTAGTAATGTAACATGACAGTTTTGACCACATGTTGTTGTTTCCGTTTCAACAACTTACTATCTATATTCAAACATGTAAATATAAGCGGAACTCATTATTATGATAATAATATGTCAAAACATTATCTAATACTTAATTTTATTACTGCTACTGGAATCTAATTCTCTTCTAATTAAAAACATTTACCCTTTTATTATACTTAAATCAGATTAATTGCACTCTTTTATCTAAACTCTTTCGTCTTTAGTTACGCAGTGATGAAAAGAGACCGTTGACTTGTATAGTGCAATTGGACTGATTTATTTTCCTGAATAAGGGATTTTATCAATCGATATGAATCTTCGTCTTATCGATATTATTTAGGATGGGATACTAATCCTAAGGGCCGATTCGACCAAACAAGAGTAAATCTTAATCTTAGAATAAATCGTCAGTTAATCGAGAGTAAATCAATTTTACGTTTTACCAACTACAAATTCTAAGAATAGTGGGCTTATTCGGGAATAGCTACTATACCGCCGTTTCGCACGGAATAACAGCTATTCCTAGAATAATTTAATGGCGTCAGTCAGTCCAATCAGCTGATTTCTGTCATTTCACAAATATGTATTCTGTGTTTTAATTTCAAGTCAACGCAACGCACTAAATTAATAGTCTGGCTCTGGCATTGTATAATGAAACGTTTAAACAATTTATTAT